GTTAATGGGAAGAATAGCAACAATTAAAATGAATATAATGCCGAGATTACTGTTTGTACCTATTTCAAACAATTCTGATAAAATTGGAGAAAAAAATATGTTGAAGATCTCAATAAAATAATACTAAAAGAAAAAAAGGTGGCATAGAATCATTAAAAAAGGATGTAAAAGGAGGGACAGAATGAAATGTGAGTGGCAAACATTGGAATATTTTTTTATTGATTTGAAATAACTAAATAGAAGAGTTAAATTGTCCCACAGAGTGTTGTCAGTGGTGAGTTGTCCCATTCCTTATTGTGTTCCCTCTCTTTCTCTCACACCTCTTTGTGTAGGAACATTAAAAGCAAAAAAGCAAATTTCTAGGTTCTATCATATCACAAAATGGACACCTAACATCAAAAACGTCATCAAAAAAGCACAACAAAGAATGTTCTTTCTGCGCCAACTCAGAAAGCTCAAACTGCCCAAGGAGCTGCTGATGCAGTTCTACAGAGGAATGACTGAGTCTGTCATCTGCACCTCTATAACTGTCTTGTCTGGTTCTGCAACCAACAGGACAGACACAGACTTCAGAGGATAATTAGAACTGCAGAAAAAACAATTGCTACCAACCTGCCTTCCATGGAGGACCCTTATACTGCACGAGTCAAAAAGAAGGCTGTGAACATATCTACAGATCCCTCACATCCTGGACATAAACTGTTTCGACTCCTACCATCAAAACGACGCTATAGAGCATTGCACACCAGAATAACTAGATACAAGAACAGTTTTTCCCCGAATGCCATCACTCTGCTAAACAAATAATTCCCTCAACACTGTCAAACTATTTACAAAGTCTGCACTACTGTTACTGTTAATCTTCTCATCATTCCTTATCACCCATTCCTTCTCACTTGTGACTGTATAACTGTGACATTGTTGCTTATATCCTAATGATTTTTATTGACTATTTCCTAGTATGATTGGATTGCTTATTGTGCCCTATGACTATTATTAAGTGTTGTACCTGATGATTCTTGACTCTTGATGAATGTCTCTTTTCTTTTATGTACACTGAGAGCATTTGCACCAAGACAAATTCCTTGTGTGTCCAATCACACTTGGCCAATAAAGAATTCTATT